CTAACAGCTGGGAAAGTGGCCTGTTCATTTTATTTTTAGTTGTATTTGCGGTGATTGCTGCTGGTTACGTGCTTGTAAAGGTAAATCAGCACTTCCTTTATGTGAAATATGGAATATTTACCACTCCTACTTGACAACATTCCTTGATACAGGGACTGGAAGATCCTACACGGAGCAAATATAAACTTCTTCTAAGTTGTTCACTCATTATTACTTCTGTGATCCCTCCTGAACTACCAATGGAATTATCAATAGCTGTCAATACATCTCTGATTGCATTGGCACGCCGGGGGATATTTTGCACAGAACCTTTTCGAATTCCTTTTGCAGGGAAGGTAAGTTGGCCCATCTTCAAGCTCCTTTTTTGGTAATAATCTGATGAGCTTGAGACTTTAGGGATAAGCATTTATTTGAGAAACTACAATGAAGGATGGGGGGTTTTGCGAGTTGTCATGCCCAGCTAGTCAATAATTTCAAATTTTCTTTTGCTTTCTTTTTGGTGCAACAATGCATTTTCTCCTTTTTTTTTTAACTTTCTTAGAATGCCCTAAAAAATTTAACAGTGGATATTGCTGTTGCACCAATGATATATTGTAGTTATTTGTCTTCCTTAGTTATATTTTCGTCTTTTATTTTTCTGTTACTTCCTAGTGGAATAAATTTATTATGCATTAATCTCATGTCAAACATTATCTCTTGTTTTCCCTACAGGTTGACATATGTTGTTTTGATAAAACAGGAACGCTAACATCAGATGACATGGTATGCTTATATCAATACGATCAGTTTAGCAATTTTGGTGATCAATCAATGAATATTTTTTTGTTTTCTTGTCTTCAGGAGTTCCGTGGAGTTGGGGGACTGAATGGTAGCACAGAACTGGAATCCGATATGACTAGTGTTCCTTTGCGCACGATGGAAATTCTAGCTTCTTGTCATGCTTTAGTATTTGTGGACAACAAGCTGGTAAGCTTTCTTTTTTTGGAGTTGAAATGATGCCTTTGTCTTTTATCCTTTTTTCTGATAGGTACTGCTGGATGCTCTAGGTACATGGTGTTTCTGTTGCATATTTGAATTAACAAGTTTTATTTATTTATAATTTTCTTTATAGTCATTTTAACATGAGAGAGCATTCATTTTTTTATTAGTTGTAAAAAGTGCAAAAGTGCACGGGGTACCCCCATAGAGAAAGGTCTCCTTCTTGTTCAACACAAAATGAACTGAGCTAAGTCTATAATTTTAACTGTCAGCAAATATGGAAATTTGGAAGGTATATGTTCCTTCCAAAGGTGCTTTTTTTTTCGTGGGAGGCAGGTGCGAGTGTATTTTAACAATCAACAAATTGATGAGGAGGGGAAAATTTTGGTTAATGGCTGTTTCCATTTGAAAGGGATGCAGAATCTTGTGACCTTATTATGCTTTGGTGTCCATTCGGGCACAAATTGTGGACACTAGCCTATGGATAATTGGGGGTTTGCTGTTAATAGCTGGCTCGGTAAGAGATGAGATATGAATCTAGAAAGAAATTTAGTAATGGGAGAAAACACGTGGATCTCATCCCTCTTACCATTTTATAGTTGTATCGAAGGAGAGAAACAAAAGAGTTTTTGAGGAGGTTGAAGAGGATTTTGTTAGAGTTAGAGACAGATGGTTCTAGGTTCTCAATTTTTTGGTGATGGGGCACCCTATTCTTTCAGCTGAGGGGTTTGGAGATTTTATTGACATACTAACTATTTGTAAATATTTTTGTACGTGGGTGGGACCCCCTTGGTGCTGGTAAATTAATGATACATTATACTTTTTATTTAAAAAAAACGTATGTAATTTTAACTTGTACTTGTATAACCATTTCAATAATAATGTAATTATATCTAGAAAGAAGAGTTCTATAAAAAAAT